TTTTTTACAAGGCTATGATAAAATGAAAGTATATATTATCTTATTTTTTGAACAACATATTTCGGAAAATTACACTTTTGTTATTTAGTTGGTCCTTACGTTTCTATTTTCGGAAAGCTTAATTTAACTGTTGTGGATTTAATTAATTATGAATTATCGTTAGACTAGTAGTAAATTAGTATTGCAACTTTATAACACTGTTTTTGGCAACATTTTACGTAATACTTTTGTCATCACTAGCTGCATACTGTCGTTTTTAAATGAGAAATTGTTGTAGATCAACGTATTTCATCGAAAATAATGTAATTTGAGCTATTTTATTCAAGCAATTTAGGTACCGCACACGGCAAATGTCATCAATTTTAACTTTTATTTTTTTAACAGATAAGTATAATAATATAATATATTTAATTTAAAAAGCGCTCAGTAGAAAAAAAATTATAAAAAATATGTGTTACAACATTTTATTATGATACTCGTACGTTTGTAACACAGGGAGAGTTTTTGTAACACTTCTTTTTAATATAGGTACTACATACGAGTATTTCGAAAAAATACACCACAGCTAATTATTCTCTTTCCGGCTACTAAATTTTTAATCCGGCTTGAATGAAGTCGTTCTTCCTTTTTATCAAAACTCAAAGCTCGTTCGGCGAAGTTAACTCGCTAACTGCATTATTCCGTGTTTGAAAAAGCATCTCCTCCGACTTTAGGCCAGATTAGCCGCGTTCTCTTTAATAATTCAACAAACTCCGGGAAGATTTCCCCGTCTGATATCCTCGCTACCTTAAATATGTACAATCCCAAGTAAGCGAAAAAAGCGCACAAAAGACSGAATAAAGCAATTACTTGCGCGGTATTAATTAAATATTCAAGACGATACCACACGAGCGCAGTTCTAATCGACCGCCGCATCTCGCATAACCAATTCCATTAGAGAACCAAATCGAGTTATATGCAAAAAGTAGCGGCGATATTTTCCCGGCTGGATTGTCAACAGATGGTGCGTTTTTCTGTTCCATTTGAGCATTAGCACCCCCGGCAATGACATGAACGCCAGTTGTGTGTGGAACGACGAGAATGACTTTTATGGGGCGGCAGGTTTCATTCACTAAAGCCCTT